AAAAAAAAGAGAGAAAAAAAAAAAAGGAAAAAAAAAAAGGGAGAACGCTTCCACAGTCCTACATGGGTGTTTCACCATCATCAGCCACCACCACCACCATCATCATCATCATCATCAACCACAGAAAAGCACAACGTCCCCAAAGCAACGGATGGACACTTCCTCTATAGATCCAGCACATGGAGAGGGTGTGGGTGTGAGTGTGCTCGCCCCCCTAGAAAGGCAGCCAGGTCACTAGGGCGGCCCACAGAGCCGCCAGGAGCAGGGGCAAGGCCGGCGGGAGGAGGGACGGTGCCGCGCCGCTGCCGCCTCCGCACAGTTCAAATAAGCTGCCTTGGAAATCGAGGTTTTTGGATTCCCGTCTCAATTTCTCCCAGAGGTCTGTCGCTCCTTCCTGGCAATCGGTGAGCGCTGTGAGGGTGCAGGCGTGGAAATCATCCCAGTACCTGCAGGAGGGGAGAGCAGCCGGCGTCAGAACAGGCAGGCACCCACCTTGCCGGGGAGGGAGCCCGCCCCTCGGGCCCGCCGCCCCCTCCTCCCGCCGAGCCCAGCCGGCCATGCCTGAAAGGGAGGCTGGGCTGGCGGGGAGGAGCCGCTGGCTGAGGTTTCGGGGGTCCCCCCCATCCCCACGCCCGCCTTCGGCACCAGCCCGGTCAGGGCGCTGTAAAAATGGCTCTGCTGGGTCTGTGGCGGGGGGGAGCTGGCCTGAGCGGAGGAGGGGACCTGCCCCCCTCGGCTCTCAGAAGCCAGCCCGGGAGCCCGCGGGCTCGAACCGAGGGTTCCTCGTCACCCGTGGGAGCGGGCAGGCGGGGGTGGGAAAGGCACCCTTTCGGGTGTATAGAAACCCTCGGGGGGGATTCCCCGGGGCGAAAAAAGGCCCTTACTACAGGATAAGGGCAAGGAGGAAGAGTAGGAGAAGAAGGAAGGGTAGAAGGAAGAAGGAAGACCTTCCGCTTCTGGGTGTCTCGCACCCACCCGCAGCAGGGCAGCTGGAGGGACCCCTGATCCTGATTCGCTTTCCTAGGATAATTTCCAGCTATTCGCACAAGTTGCCCCGTGGTTTGTTTGGGGTTTTTTCAATTCCTTTTTCCACGGGGACCGGCGTTTATCGCCGGGGGCAGGCGCCCGTCGTCGCATGGATCGCATAGGGACCGTACTGAGAGGACCTTGCCTCTCCATGTCCGACTTATCGAAAATGAATCTGCCCCCTGCCTTCTATTTCCCCCACGGCTCAAGGCAGACCTGTGCGAAGCTGGGTCTTGATTTTCTGTATTTTCTTTTCTTTTCCTTTTTTCTTTTTTTTTTCTTTTTTTTTCCCGAAGTAGTCCTACTGCCTCTAATTTATGAGCACTCTAAGCTGGTTGTAGACTCCCAATGTTTGCTACATTTGTAATAAATAATGAGATACTGAGAAGCCAGAGTCTGAGAGTGTGCCTCTCCTGCAGTATTTCTGCTGTAATTGCATCTCCCAAAGGAAAATTAAATCTTTCACCATCTTCTTTCAATACACATCCCGGCACAGGGTGAAGGCAATCGGGTGGTGAGAGGTGGTCGGGAAAAGGACTACTTTTTAGAGATCAGGATCACAGCTGGTCTGGCACTCGAGGGCAAAAGATATTATATCAGGATATTATATCAGGTGCCCCTGGGTATTTATTTCTGTTGCAGGACACAAAGTACACAGCAGCCCAGCATTTAGAGCGATGTGCCAGCCTTTTTGGGTGTTTGACTCCTACTCTAGGTAGGAAGAGAGGATTGTTGGAGTCTCTCCACACTTCTCCCTTTCTTTTCCTTCTCCTTTTCTTTTCCTTCTCCATTTCTCCTTTCCTTTCCTTTCCTTTCCTTTCCTTTCCTTTCCTTTCCTTTCCTTTCCTTTCCTTTCCTTTCCTTTCCTTTTCCTTTCCTTTCCTTTCCTTTTCCTTCTTTTTCCTTTCCTTTTCCTTCTTTTTCCTCTCAACTTTCCATTTCATGTATTTTGTTTCCTGATTTTTGTAGAGCAAAATAAAAATCCCAAAACTATCCCAAACTTATTTATGTCTAAAGATATTATCTCGTTTCTAAACATGATTATTTTTTGGGGGGAGGGGTTTAAACGGGTGGGTTTTGCACCAGAAACAGGGAAAACTCCCTATGCTGCAACCGCTCTTTTGGTTTTGTTTTCATTTTGGTTTTTTGTTTTGTTTTGTTTTGTTTTGTTTGGGTTTTTGTTGTGTGTGTGTGTATGTATGTGGCTCGATTTTGGGCTTCTGTTGTTCTGTGGCGTTTTGTTGTTTTTTATTTTTAGCCTCTCAGACATATCGAAAATGCTCGTCTCTTTCTCCCTGTGCGGGACACAGTTTTGCAAGGCTAGCGCTTTTTCTCCGTTTAATATTTATTTTGCCGTTACTATTATTATTATTATTATTATTATTATTATTATTATTATTATTATTATTATTATCATTATTATTATTATCATTATTATTATTATTACTATTGTTACTATTATTACTATTATTACTATTATTATTACTGTTATTATTCGCCTTTATCGTTGCCCTTTCCTTCTTGTCCCCTCTGTGCCAGGAGCGGGGCGAAACTGGGGGCGAATGGGCTTTCCCGGAGCCATGGAGGTGGCAGAAGAGAGCTGGCGCTGGGACGGCCGCCTCTCTGTCGCTGAGCGATTCATATCACGACTGGGCTCTTTCCTTTTTAATTACGTTTTGTTTTCCGAGGAGGCGCCGCCCCAGCTCCGGCTGTGCCCGGCCCGGGTGGGCAGGCTCCCCCCGGCCTCTGCCTGCGGAGCTCGGGGGGAGCCCGGAGCCTGCGTCTGTCCCACAGGCAGCAATAGGGAAAGGGATGGCCGTCCCCGTGTGCAGCTAATGTCAGCACCCCAGTGCAGACCGGGGCAAGGGAAAGAATGCGCAAGAGGAGCTAAGTAGGGAAGGGAAAAAAAAAAAAACCCACCAAACAAAAAAAAAAAAAAAAAAAAAAAAAAAAAAAAAAAAA